CTTGACGCAGTGCCCAGCACGCCAGGCCCAGGTTCAAAAGAAGGATCATGGAGTTGGTGAACTGAGCGCGGCTTGATCCCAGTGGAAAAGGAAGGCACGAAACCACCAAACACCAATTCCTCGCGTTTTATTTTTACCAATAGAACAAGCAACAACAAATCAGGGCGCTCAAGGAAAAATCCCATACCCGCATCTCCTCTCGTTTTCGTGGGGGATTGCGAAAACGTTTGCTTCGAGTCACGTGCGTTACCTGCAGCCCAAGGATTTGATGCGATGCATCGGGTCACTGACATTTGGAGAAAAGTCGGAGCCCTTTGAGTGCATGAGAATTTGGGATCACACAAACTCTTGTGAGTCATGGGTAACCGCAATCGGAGATACCCTCTTGACATGGGAAGCCATGCATGTTGGACAGGGATCCTTACATTATGCACCTAAACGTTGCAACTTGCAAATGGTGGTTTCCTTTTATGTTGGTGGAAAAAGCCACGTTTCAAATGGGCCAAATGTATCTTTTAAGGAGCCCTGTCGGAGAAAAGAGCATTGCATAGCGCAACTAAGTTTTCATGGCTGAGAGGCATGGCCCACTTGCCGAGTTTTGCACTTGTAAAAAATATGATTGGCACGGGAGGCTCCCGTTGTTTCAACCGAAACACGCACAACAAGTGCAAGGCAATTATCTCAAGTGGTTTCATAGCGTGGCCGCACGTACTTCCCACTTGGGATCTTGGGATGGGTTCTTCGTCCACTTGCCATGACTGATTGCCAGCATTTAAAATTACACCAGAAGATCCCACCGTTGTCACTTGCGCCGTTCGATCCTGGGGAATGCTACATTAGGAAATGCCTTCCAGCACCCCCCCAAGCACTGCGTTTTTTGGACACTTGAGATTTCCGACGGGAAAAAAGCAGCCATGGGTCAAAATCCCGTACCCCCAGTGAACATCCCAATCCAACCACTAAAATAGGTTCTAAAATGGGTGGTGAATTCACCAATCCCCCAAAATAAGATCCCAAAACGGTTTTGACAACCACAGCCAAATCAGCACCCTTTGTCCGAACCTGTGAGCTGCAGCCCCCCCCCCTCCCCCGAAGAACCCTGAGCTCGCCGAATCGCTGGGTGGCCCAGCCACCAGCATGGAGCGCAAGGAAGGCAGTGCACCGCCAAGCTGCACCGCCTCTTCCAGAGGCAGTGAGGCGGAGCTGGGTGAGGCAATTTGGCCATGGTTGTCAAAACCGTTTCGGGATGTTTTGGGATCCCTTTTTGGTGGGTGCACCACCCATTTGAGTCTACTTTAGGAAAACCAATGGGATCCCTTTTTGGTCGGTCGGTGAATTTTCCACCCATTTTAGAACCTATTTCAGTCTGTTTCAGTGGGGATTTGTGTCTATTTGAGTGGCGACTGGCATCAAAGGGGCCGCCAGACTAGGGATGAACTTACCCCTAGGTTGAAGTCATCTTTGGGGTCCCCACCTACCCGAGACAAAGGTCGGTCACCTTTGCGGGTTCCATGGAAAGCCACATGTTTCCAAAAAAGAGGGAGTTGGTCACAAAGACATCGGCGGTTCCTTTGCCTCAAGACATCGGCCGTCTCCTTCCAAGGACATTTCGGGCCAAGAAGTACTGTGTAAAACCAAGGAAAATACGAGCATGGGTTCTGAGTTTCTCTGCGTCGCCAAGCCGACGCTGACAAACGCGCTTCAAATCCAGATCTACCTTGTGCTTGCAGGACTCCTGGTAGCCCCTTAGCTCCCTCCACAAAACCCAATCTAAATACCCCCAGCTCCCTAGCGGCTCCCTCCGAAGCACCAGCTAGATGTTGTCCAGAGGCGTTGGAAAATCGGGAATGCGATCGGCTGAAAGGGGCTCTTGAAGCGGAAGGTCCAGTTGCCGAAGGAGAGCCGAATGCTGTGGATCGGAGGGGGCGGCCTTGTTGTTGTTGGGGGATAAGATCCTCTTCAAGAACCGCAAACATCTCTGAAATCATAGAAATGCCCAGGTTGGAACTGTGCCTTTGACCGAGAATCCAACAAATCGAGGGACATGCCGTAAGTTGCTTTTTATGAGCGTGCTTGTATTGCATACGTTCCTTGCACAGTTTCTGTTACAGTTTTATTATTGGAATAAATGATCTTGAACAAACAACCATGTAACAATTGTGAACATGATAATGATGATGATCATAATAATACCTCTAGTTGGTGGCTTTGTGCGGTGGTTTGGAGGTTTTTCTTGGAGGTGGCGGGGGTTCCCAATTACCCTCTACAAGAATCAGGGGTTCTTAAATCCCAAACCACCAATCCAAACCACCAACTAGGGGTTACCTGAATTGCAATAAAAGCAATCATGATTCAGAATACTAATGATCATGAAAAGGAACATTGCCATAATATGTTGATACGATGACAGTGATAAAGTTGTAGATCACCAAATATATGAATTACCAAAAGCCCAAGGCCCAGTTGAAGGTATATGGTTTGCTTACCAGGATCTTATCATAAGGAGCTCATCCACCCGAGAACCAACGGGTTCAAATTCCCAAACCACCACTCCAAGCCAATGCAAACTCTGCTCAAAGTTCTCCGCTCACTTCTTTTGTTGCAGTCATCCCTATGGACACCGAATTTCGTTGTCCACGTCACCCTTCAAAACGCCAAGTGCCACCATTCATCAGACACGCCTGAAGCGCAGGAGACGTCGTGATTTCTCAGCCGAAAAGCGCACCAGGGAGTGTTCAAGCTCTTCCACGGGGGTTCGCGTCCCTTTTGGGACATCACCCCGCGGACCCGGCCAATCGAAGTTCCGAGTCGAGTCGCGAATCCGAAGGAGTGCCCAACACCCGTTGACTGCTGACTCTACTGAGGCCTTGCTATAATCTCCATTCAACCAAGAAGTGGGACCTACCAAAACGGGGCGGGCTTTAAGGGGATCCTCAAACTTGGCCCTTCCTGTTGGCTTTCTCCTTTTGAAACCACCAAGACTCGTCTTCAAGGGTCAAATTATTTTTGCGGATTTGGGACCCCTCGCGCGATGCAAAGACCCCATCGACTTCACCTTCAAGTCCTGGGCTTGAAGGGGATCCTACTTGGCTCCTCCTTTTGGTTTGTTTTTGGCTTTGAAACCACCGGGGCATAGAAACTTCAAGGGTCCAACTTGGCCCTTCATTTTTGATTTTTTTGCGTCTTTAAGGGTCAGACTTGGCCCTTGCTTTTTGTTCCCCTCTTGAAACCACCCCCCCAAAAACAAGTTGGGTACTTTTTAAAGCCACGCCAGAAAGAGGAGCACGCCTCCACGGCCAAAAGGGAAAAGAAGAGCATCACGCCCATGCCTCGGAGGGGAAAAGAAACGGCCCACGGTTGACGCCAGCTGTCGACTCGAGACCTAAACGGACTCCATAGACTCGAGGGGAAAGCCGCTGAAGAATTTTCGAGCCACGTGGTGCAGCTCGCAAGAAAGCAAGGCCGGGTGAAAGGGGTTGCATTGAGTTGGAGTTCGTTGGCTTGTTCAATCTTGGCTTGTTGCTCTTCACCCCAACGGTCAGCCAGCAGAAGAGGCAGAGCTGACCGGGTCAAAGCCAATGGTTGCAGAGACGGGTTACCAACTGGCGGTCCGGGAATTCCGAAGGTCTGTTTGGAGGGTCTGCTTTTGGATCTCCAGGCGAAATCTGTGGTTTTCCAAGGTGCAAATATGGGCATGTCTCAAAACAATTGGAATGTTCTTGTGGGTATCAAAGGGGCACGGTGCCAACGTTGCCGTGGACGTTTTAGGTCCGGAAACTCTAGGATTTTCAGTTTTCCACAGTCAAACAAATCTAAATGCCTTTGCCAACTAGCCCAATGCAAAGCAGCTGGTGTTTGGACCTCTTCCAAGAGCCCTGTTTTAGGTTGGGAAACCAACGGGAAGCTCACGGAAGGTCTTTCCAGAACCTTGAAACCCAAGGAAGCTCCGCCCGCAGCGCAGGACTTGCAGCAGAGCATCCCCGCCGCTTTTTTGTTGGGTCGAATTCCAAGCAAATTCGATGCGAATTGTCCGCCTTGCCACCAAGTGGCTCAAGACAGACCACTGCGAAGGCACGGCCTGAGGCAGGACAGCAGGGGTTTGGTGGCCTTTGAGACAGCTATCTATTTTGCCGGCAGATGTTCAAAAACATCAGGTGCAATGTCGTGGCTCGTCCCCTTGCGGGAATTTTTTGAGGCTCGCCCCTGCCCATTCCTCCCAAATGGGTGGCTCTTCGCGGCTTGCAAATTGTTGGTGTCCCCCTAAAAAACCCAAATTTTGGTTTCCCCCCTAAAAACCAAAGGGTACTCTCAGAAAGGATGCACCCAAATGGACCGACGCATCCGACCGAACCTGAGACCTTCCAACCGCGAAACCGCGCTTTAAGGCGGGCGCCTCTCTGAGAGTTGCAACTTTCTCCTCCTCTGCCTGGCTCCTAGGCAACGACTTTTTGCAATGGCCAAGTGAGTGCGGGTCAAGTTTTGAGCCACCAGGGGGTTATCCGCAGGTTTTAGTCCTTGGTTCCATTTACCAGGGCAATAAATTTTGGGTACACATGTTTGACCCGCAGCCAAGTGTCGTTTGGAGTTGCAACTCCCGTTTGATTTAACGGCAAGTTTCAAGGCGAAAGGAAAGTCACCCAGTTTGGGGGGGTCCCCCTATTTTGACAAGTATGTTAATTGACTCGAACCAGGGGTGCTTGCGTATGTCTAAACGATTCTCGTCCAGCCTGGAAAGGGAAAGCTAAAGAGCGGGTTCAAATAATGGCTTAAACATGTTTCAACAGGGGGTTGGCCCAACTGACCATAACACCGCAAGCAGGCCAGCATAAATGTGCGACTGCAATGTGGACATGCGTTGGACCAAACGTCAAGCTGCTTGTTTCTGGTTTCGTTCTGGGCCCAAAACGCGTCGCAGCAGCCCTCCGCCCCGCCCCCCCGCCCCCCCTTTTTCCAAGCAAACCTGTTGTTTCACCCCCCCAAAAGAAAAACACATCGGGGGTCAAACACTCCGGGTCCGGCAAGCGTCCTGCACCGCGAAAAAAATCCAACGGCCACTGCCCCATAAAAACCTGTCTGAGGCGTCAGGCCCATTGTTCATGCCTGCCGGCCGGTACCTGGCTGAACCCCCCCCCCTCTGCGCGGCGAATCGGCTCCGAATTCGGAGAAGCCCAGAAGGACAAAGCAGCTTAGCCACGTCCAAGGCAACGAGTTTCCGCAAACTACTCTAACACCTCTGCTGCACACGGCAGTCATGCCGCCCCTGCCGGGGTACAGTGGTACAGCTGGGTGAATGTAGGTGCCACATTTCGCCCCATTTTGGTTTTGTCTCCCCTCCCCTTGGCCACGACATTCTGGCGCACGGCCGGAAGGTGCCGAACATACGGTCCTGCGCTCCGGCAAGGGGTCGCTGCTTCAGTCAAATGACTTGCTATATGGGTGTGTCTTTTTAGGCTTGCCTTTTGCGAGTATGGCGGAACCCTCCAAATTGTTGGTGTTCCTCTGGGTTTCCCTTCACAACCACCAAAAAAGGGGCACCCTCAAAGACACACCGATATACCCTCACACACCCATGTCAAGCAGCACAACCACTAGCAACGGCCTTTTCGTTCTTGAACTAGTGAAGAACCCTCTCAAACGCATTGAAGCAAGGAGGCGCCACCACGCTCATTCTTTGAGCATATCTGGGTGGCAACATCTCGACGCAAGTTGGGCCAATGAGAAAGAAAGGCTGCCTAAGTCTCCTTGGCCCAAGGAAATTGGACAGCACCTGCTTTTGTCTCCAAGGTCACTTTGATGCACCCAATGTTGAATCTCTTATGTCTTTGAACTGGTCTGTTTACTTAGATTTCATGTAATTAGGCAATTGTTGGTCATTGATCAGGGGTGCAACTGCCTTTGGCCAGACCTCTCGCCGTCGTTCTTTTTTCGCCACCCATTCGAAGGCGGGTCCGTCATCGTGCTGAGGGTGGCGAAGTTTGTGTTGGGAAAGCGGTGGTGCCTCCAAGCGAAGTGCGGTGCGAGACGACAAAAACGCCGCCAGGTGCCACCTGTTGGAGGCCAAACAGTCTTTGTGGGGCGTCATCCATCCCTGGCCCAGGACGCTAAATCCATCCAACCCCCATCCAACCCCCAAGAGTATTTTCTGTTTAAGCTTTGGGGCACCCTTCTTGAAATAAAACTACCAGTAGACTACAAACTTTGTCAGCTCACGTGATGCAGAGGCCACACGACATAAGTGCCCTGCGTGTTGTGGTCCTTGGGCAGTGCAGGGTACCTGCACAGTGCGAAAAATGGTGGCCGTCCCGGGCCGTCCCTTTGGTTTCCCTTTGAACCAAGCCCAACAAGTTCACAATGCCTCGAACAGAACTACCTGCTGACTGCTGACTGCATGAAGGTTGGCGCACGGTAGGGGCAAGTGCAGAGCCGTGTCATAGGGAAGGTGGTTGCAGATGTTCAAGATCGCCCAGGCCAGCGTTCCCAGCCTCGCAACCATTGGACCACTCAGTTGGGAGTGTTGAAACTTGAACCTTGCCTGGCCCGGAAAGTCGGATCCAATGATACATTGGAACTGCATTTTGATCCTGCATGCAAGGCTGAAGATGGATTCACATGGCGCTCGTGGCAGGCCATTGGAGAGACTTCTTCCGACGACTTCTGCTAGAGTCAAAGACCATTCGCTGAGCCGCCAAGTGGGATTCTCCAAACCAAGAACCTCTACACCAAACATGGTGCCCAATTTGCCTGTAGTTTTTCTTTCAAACAGCCCCAAAAGGGTCCCAACAAAAAACAAAAACAAGGACCGGCAAAAAGCATGCCCCATTTTGTCAACCCTGAGCTGCTCCCCGCAATCAAAACAAGCCGGGCCAACAAAACCATCTGGCGTGTCAGGAACTCCAAGATGGCCTCCTTTTTGGCTTCCCTTTAAACCAACGCTGGGTGGTAGATAGGGGGTGTGGAAAAAGCAACAAGTCGCCCATGCCTTTTGGATTTCCTTTCGGGAAAGTTGAGTAGTTGTGGGTTCTTTGCTGGAGCCGTTCCGAACCACCTACTTGGGCAAAGACCCCAAAGCTTCCAGCTATTGGGGAACAACCCTGGCAAATTGTGTTAACAAGAACACGGAACTTTATTCCGCAGACACAATGACGTTGGATGGCTTATCTCATGAGCATTCCCATCACTTGGTCGCGCTGTACATACGTGCCATTGCTTTGAACAGCGAGTTGGATTGGTTTGGATTGGTGACCCTCGAGCCCCGCTCCGAATCCTTGCCATCCGCCCTCCGCCGTCCGCCGTCCGCGTCCCGGCTGAGTTTTTCGACCAGGCTGTGGCGGCGTGCAGGCCCATGAGCTTCGAGATGATCCAGAGGCCTCGTGGGGAAACCCAGGCCCCAAGGCATTCTTTTGGGGCGCAGAGTTGGCTGGGTGGGCTTCGTTTAAAGCCGTAACATGGGGTCGCCCTGCCCCCCCCCCAAAAAAAAAAAAAAAAAAACATGAACGCCCCAGACAAAAAGACCGTTTTGGGAGACCCTGGGTCCCAAACGTCAGGTTCCTTGGCAACAAAGGGTGGGAGGGTACCAACTGTAAACCGGCAACTCTACAAAACCCCAACATGGAGTCGGCTTTCCTTTGGGTTTCCTTTTACAACACCCAAAACAGGGGCGCACCCTCCCACCAATTCACATGGAACGTGACGTGACGTTCGGGTCCTGGAAGACTGGACCAGTTTCCTTCGAACGTCAGGCTCAATGTTCTGTAAATTGCTGGGAGGGTACTCTTGTTCGGTTCTATTTCTTGGGGTCGTCAAAGTCAGAATCACTTTCGGCCCCTGAACCCAACAACTTCGGGGGTGACTTTGATAATGTTCAGACAATGCGATGTGTGTTTTGAAATGGGTGGGCCAGGGATCACCCCCAAAATTGGTCGGGCGCCGACCAGGTGTCCAATTAAACATCCACAGACCCAGGTTCCCGACATCCGTGGGAACTCGGGACAACTGGATTGGCATTGGGCAATTCGGTTCTCCGAATAAAAGAATGCAAAAAACAACATGTCGCTTCCCCGTTGGGCTCACAGGATATATTAATTTCAACTGCTTGGACCCTTTGGTGGACATCGGATATGGGGAATCTACTAATCTTGAGGGTGTTCCGTAGGTTTTTGCCCGTGGCTTGGCAAGGTGGAACCCGCAAGGCGAAGAACTGGCAATGCGCTGAGTGACGGGCTGCCGATCCAAATGCAGAAGCCATACTCAGTAGGGCAGGCTGCAAGCTGATGGCTTCCGGTCAGAGTCCCAACACACCGTGTCAGGGAAAGCGTTCCTCTACACGGACGTCTTTTTCTACACAGGAGCCTTACACGTACCCTCTCCTGATCCCTGCTTTCCGTGAGCAAACAGGCACTCCTGTGTTTCATTTTTTTCGGACTCGGACCCCTCCACAAATTCCGGCTTGCCTCTTGGTTCCCCGAAAAGGAAGGACGAGCCACACCCGGCACACCCCTTCGCGGCTTCAGCGACTCAAGAGCCGACGTGAGGATCGGAGGCGCAAGTCGCTTCGATTGGGCGCCGCGCCATCTGCTCCAGTGGGTGCTGGTTGGCGGCATCCGCGTAGCCCCGGAAGGGCACGAACCTTGCGCTTCGGCTGCTTGGCTTCGGTCGCATGGAGATGATCTGCTGTGAGGATTTTCCACGGAAGAAAAGGGGCGGAAGATCTGCCAAGGACTTTCCTTAGAAAAACAAGGGGGGGGCTCAGGCGTGGCTCAACGATGAAAAATGGTATATAAATGGAAGGCGCATGTGCAAATGACTTCCAGAAAAACCCGGGGTCTCAATTCCTTCCTGGTTCGATAAGCAGGGAATGAGAAATGGAATGACCCCGAGAAAAACCACACCTTGCGGTTTCCTTTAGGTTCATTCCCAACACCCGGAAGGTCATTTCCTACTAAGCACCAGCAAGACTTGGCTGTGGCCACAAAACACGGTAACCAACGTGGCACCTTGGCCAAATGGACCCAAAGACGAAGACCTGCTTTGCTGTGGCTCCTGAATTTTGAGCCACACCGACACTCGAGACATTCCCAAGGGCCTAAATACTTAGAGTGGGGGTTGCGGGGTACGAAGGCAACAAAAAAACATATTTTCTGGCATCATTTTCATTTTAGCTGGCCCTCATGTCCAGCTCCACTTCTGGAAAGGAACTGCAGACGGGGTTCCCTCCGTTTCCTTGGAACCCATTTTGATTCATGAGGGAAAGAAAAGACCCTGTTTTGAGACGAGCCCAGTCAAAGGACCAGCCTTGAGTGAAGGGTTGCTACTCGCTAAGCGATGTCCTACCGGTCTTTCGAACACAACGGAAGTGCCAATGGTCTGCTAGCTTGGGGAATCCCAAATAGCTCACTCGCACTGGCTCAAAACCTGTGAGACGGCCTCAGCAGCAGCTGACACATGATGCACAGCCACCTGAATGAAAACCGGATCCTGGGGTGTACATGTGCGTTTTTTGAGATCGCCCTGTTCGATTTGTTGGTTTCAAGGAAACCAAAGAGCCAAAACCACAAGTGTTTGATGTCCCCCGATTTTGACGCAGACCGTGGGACATCTTATCATCAGGCTTCGCTTGCGCCAGGCGACTGTCGATGGTGCTGCTTGTGGCAGTACGGGTAGAAAATGCGCCTGTCAAAGGGGCCAAGCTATGTGCATTCTGCAAGCTGTCAGGCGGCATCTGGACAGGTCTGCTGGAAAGAATGGAAATGGCATCAATCCTAAGACCAAGAGGATTTTTTGTGGTTAACACTGTACTGGTGCAACTCTGCCTGTGCGCGACAAGGTGGAAGGGGTAGTAGATGACGTCATTCAGAACAAAGGCCTCGTGAATCCGCGTGATGCCAAGGGTCAAAAGGCCCGGAACAGCAGACCAGAACATGCTTTAGTTGGCTGCATGTGTCTAACACATTCTATCAGCTTCCCTCTGACTGGCGGTTTGGATTAGTGGCTTGGTGGTTAAGTGGTTTTCCATTCACCATCTACAAGAACAAGGGGTCTCAAATCCCCAAACCACCAATCCAAACCACCAAACCAACTTGGGGTAACCCGAATCTTCTGCCTCTGAAGCATTCAAAGAAATATGCACCCGCCAAGCGATGTGTACCAGAATAGAAGGCTGCACCTTTGTAACGGTCCACCTTTGCAACGGTCAATTCGTCAATTCAGGGTCTGACGGCATAGCCCGAGGATTGTACGGGTCCCAATCAGGGGGAGCATCCCTACCACCTGCGTTTGTCTGAACCAGCGCAGCCCTACCTATTGGGCTGCGCACTGCGATGAAGGCCAGTGGCCCATTGAAGATGTTGAAATTCCTGCGAAGCCACGGACGTCTCAGGCACGTGGATTTCTACGTATGACAAAAATAAAGGGCGCTCCTATGTTTTAGTGGCTGATGTTAAAGAACAACCCCCGCCAAAAAACCAGGGGGGGCGGAGGCACCACTGTGTCTGGGCGGTTGGCACTGCCTTAAGCAGCGGCAGGCCCACGTGGAGTAGAAACAAGACAGCTTGCTCCTTGAGTGCTTGTGCTCTGAAAGTGGCAATCAGAAACATGGCTGTAAGTTTTCAGAGTTGAAAACCACCTCAGGAGTGGAATTCTGAGGTCCACCAAGGGTCCACCAAGGGTTTCTCAAAATAGGGGTCCCCCCAAAATGATGGTTGGTGTCCTTCTGTTTCCAGTTTGAATTCCTACATCCAATGGCACAGAGTTCACGTTTTATCACCGAGAGCGCAAGAAAAATCCGTGGCTCCTGCTCTGGTATTCCACGGCAGCGCCGAGCAGGAATGACATAATGTGGTTCATGCCGAGAAACTCCACCTCAGCAAGAACCATTGCAAAGGCTCCAAGGAACATCAATCTTGGGTGGAAGAGAAACCCGTTTTAGCATCCACTCTGGGTGATTGGGTTTCCACATTTTTTGAGACAGGTCTTCCCACCCATGCCAGGAACCCCAGAGTTTCGACAAAGAAGCCTGGACCGCTCTAGGGCTCCCTATCAACACATCCCGATTTTGGAGCTGAGTTGGCTTCCTGGCCTAATATGTCTTTCCCACATGGTACTGTTCAAACCAAGGAACATGACAGACCTTTTTTCAACTCAAGGCTGAGGTCAGCTGAGGAGAAGGCGAGGGTGTTCAGGGCCAAGTAGCACAAGTCATGGAACTCCAACACCTGAAGAGGCGGAGAATTTGTCCCCGCCTCAGAAAAAGAGCCGCTCCTTTTGGGTTGAATGCCCTCATCAAGAGCCCCTTTTGGCACGGTGATCGTTTGGCATCGCTTTTTGCTTGAATCAACGCAGCCGAATCGCCTCATAGCCATCTGATGCCCCTCCCGAATTGCCTCAAGCTTGGGCACTTTTTGGTCGCCCTCATCCATCCGGGTGTAGCCTGGGCGGATGTGTTTCCCCTTTTCTCTCGCGCACTCAGATCGCTTCCCCTCAAGGTTTTCCTCGGTGAGCCGGTTCCTGCGAGCCAACCTAAAGCTCCGGCCAACGACTCGGCCACCCAAAAACTTCAGCACAATGTTCAGCAGCTCCTGCGTATGGAATCAACGGGAGGAAGTCCAAGCTGGTTTTCATGGAATCCCTAACGAGAGGGGGTCCAAGGGGATGTTTCTGGAATCCCGAACGGGAGGAAGTCGAAGCGGTTCCTGAAGTCAGGCTCCCTAACGGGAGGGGGTTCCTGAAGGCTCCTTACAGCCCGGCTGTAGTTTCAGGGAACCCCAGGACTCTCAACTACCCCTCCCCCCCCCAGTACCCAACCCCCTTCAAAAATTCCACAAGCACTGCCATGCGTTTGAGACAGCTTGGGCTTGCCCATCTTCCACGTCTTGGAAAAGGCCAAAGGTGTTGATAAGGCCTGCCCCCTGAACTCACAAGGCGAATAGCTGGGCTTTCTGGGACGTGGAAGCGAGTCATTGTGCTTTGCAGTACCAACGAGTACACATAAAAAAAAAGAAAAGAACTGGACCTGCTAACCATGTGCACTGGTTGTACCCCGGCTTCACTTTGCAGCAGGGTTAAGCACCCCGGTCAGTTGATGTGAGGCGAGCAACCACATACCCTCGAGAACCCCTGGTTTGGGGTTTGCAATTTGGCTTGGTCCCCCTTTTCGTCCCCAAACCAGCAGCAGACCGAGAATCTTCCATTTGCGTTTTTCCCCCCTGGGAAATATGAGAACATATTCCCAGTAGTGCTAAATCCCCCCCAAGAAAAAAAACATGGAAAATAAATAAAAAAAACCAATTAATTCATCAATTCATTGATTAATTAATTAATTAACAAATAAATGAATACAACATACTCATTTCAGCAAATGGAAGACACCGAGAATCGTTTGTCACTTCACATCACCCGTTGCGCCGGCGAAGTCCTTGGCTGGAATGGTAACGGCATAGAGCCCCACGTACCTGCAACAATTGAGCGATGGGTGACTGGTCTTTTAGGGTGCTTTCTCAAAAATGGATGGGTTCCTTTTGGTCTCCCTTTAAAACAGACCAAAAAGGGGTGCCTTCAAAAAAAACCCACCAAAGTTGGAAACCTCAGGGGTCATGGATCTGCTGTCCCTTTGGTACGCCATGGGGGTTCCTTTTGGTTTCCCTTTAAAACGATAAACAAAGGGCACCCTCAAAGACGCACTCACATTTCACGCCCGAGCAAGTTTGCGCAAGCAGGAAGGACTGTGCATATCTGGCAGACCATGTCAGTCTCTTGAACAAGTGCGACTGGAAATTGCAGCGCACGTGGTAAGGTCATTCAGCAGACCTTGGCGTTTGCGAATCGACGTGCGGCGGTCCAAGCCGGCAGAGCCCAGCTATAAATGATAGCCAAATCATGCGTGTCCACTTGGGATCAAATCACCCCTTTTGCATCCAGCAGTCCTGGGCAGGCCCCTTTTGCTGAAATCCAGGGAAGCACTTGGTCGTCCGGAATCCGAAGCGGACATGCGTTTCTTTCTCGCCAAAGTCGGTGGGGACCCTTCCTTACGGAACTTCACCATTTTGAGTGCTCAACAACCTTCGACCGCTTTTCCCAAGCGAACGTGGACATCATTTACATGGGGATGAGGGTCCACCAAATATGCCTGACAGTGTCAGCATTCATAGCCATTGACCGTTGTCAAGGCAATTAGTTAGCATACCCAACCAATGGGTACAGATAGCACACATTTGCAGATTTCAACCAGGAAATGGGTGGGCCACAATCGATACTTCATGATTGCTACTCACTATACTGGCCTCATTATGCTATCATCAAAGTCTCCCTACTTTGGCTATGAATTTTGATTAGGGACCCTTTGGTGGACATCATTTAGGTGGGGATGTATGTCCACCACTCGATTTTCAGGGGGTTCCCCACTAAAGTCCTAGCCATTTTGGGTAGACCTTTTTCTTTAAAGGGTCGGAAGCATAGGTGCCCTTTTAGGGGAAATAGATGGCCCTGGTAGATGCTTAAACCACCAGGTAAACCAGGAATCACCATCTATTTCTCGAGCAACACAACCAAAAGGGACACCTATGTCCACCACTCACTTTTCAGGGGGTTCCCCCAAAAAATAGTAAAACATATCTTGAAAGAAGTAAAATAATTTTCAGAACAACTTACCAAAATATAAAATATAGGTTTATAATTCAATTATTAAATAAGGTTAATACATTATTCATATTCATTAACCTTATCTAATTCCTTGAAAAATAAGTTTACTTCATTGAAATATTATATAAGGTTAAGAAGTTATTCTACATATTAACCTTATACAATTTTATGTAAAATATTTATTAATAAAAATAGTGTTAATTTTCTTCTGCCTGTTTCATTTCTAAATTTCTTTTATGCTTATTTGTTTTAAGATGTTGCTTTTCTTTACACTAGTAAAACTTCCTTGAAAATATAATCAATATTGCTTGGAACTAAATCTATAAATCCAAATCATAAATCTTACAATAAAATTAAATTGTAAGGTTTATGGTGTAAGTTATAATTTAAGTTCAGGATAATAATTTAATTGACAAATCTCACTTATTTCATACATCATTTTAAAAATAATATTAATATCTCTCACTGTATTTTTAACATTAAACTTTTCACTTTCAATATATGATTTAATGTCTTCTTTTTCATCAAACCCGTCCCTTCTATAATAAGTCAACATCTTTAATATTCTGTCAATCATTGTATATTTGTTCTTACTGATTTTAAGAAACTGTTTAACATATTCGTAAGGTGGTAATTTATTTACAGTTAAAAATATCAAAATGTCATCTTCAACATTTCTTTCATCTATTTTTTTAATCTCCAACATATTTTTTTATTATATTTTGATATCGTCTCCATCTTCTACAAGTTCTACATACATCTTCTTCACCCAAAGCATAATCAATAATATTATTTATTATTCCATTAGGTAAATTTAATTTATACAATTCCATATTTTCCTTTTTACAGTGGCAACAATCATAGCATTTCTTATTAATATACTTATTGATTTCAATACCGTTCATTTTCTCACTAATATATTAAGTCGCTATTTCCTTAAGTCATTTTCAAAGAATGAATATAAACTTAAACTATTAACAAAATATTACAAATCATAAATCTTACAATAAAATTAAATTGTAAGGTTTATGAGTTAATTTATAATTTCAGTTCAGGATAATAATTTAATTGACAAATCTCATTTATTTCATACATCATTTTAAAAATAATATTAATATCTCTCACTGTGTTTTTAACATTAAACTTTTTATAAATTTCAATATAAAATTTGATATATTCTTTAATATCATCTCCTTTCTTTTGACTATGACACAACATCCTTAATATATCATAAATCATTACATATGTTTTCTTACTGATTTTAAGAAACTGTTTAACATAAACGTAAGGTGGTAATTTATTTACAGTTAAAAACATCAAAATGTCATCTTCTACATTTCTATTATGTCTTCCTTTTAATCTCAACAAACATTTGATTATAGCTTGGTTATCTCTCCAGGTTTTACAATTTTCGCATACATCTTCTTCACCCATTGAATAATCAATAATATTATTTATTATTCCATTAGGTAAATTTAATTTATACAATTCCATATTTTCTTTTTTGAAGTGGCAACAGTCACAGCATTTCTTATTAATATACTTATTGATTTCAATACCGTTCATTTTCTCACTAATATATTAAGTCGCTATTTCCTTAAGTCATTTTCAAAGAATGAATATAAACTTAAACTATTAACAAAATATTACAAATCATAAATCTTACAATTTATTTTTATTGTAAGGTTTATGGGTTAAAATAATGGTCAGGCAATATGTCTTCAAATATGTAATCTACATATTTATCTATATCATCAATGTCTATATATTTGATATTTTCTTTTCCTATTCTTGAATAAATATATTCCCAAAAGAATAAATACAACAATAGACATACTTTATATTTAGTGTTGTAGTAATACCATATACTATATTCAGTTACTCTAAATTCGTTCAAGACTTCGTTTATTTTACCTTTGTCTAATAAATGCCAATCAATCCATTCAAACAAATAACGGTATTTTTTGACAAATGCTTTATATGGTTTAATTGCGTTTATTCCTCCAAACCTCCTAATTAAATCTATATTACTAAAGAATTCATCAATTTCATTTTCATATGACTTTCTGGAAATCTTCTGGTAAAAGTGTATAGGAAATCTTGCTTGGTGTCGCATAAAGAATTTTAATTGTAATTGAAACTTTGTATATCCCTTATCCTTATGTTCTTCAACAAAAAACTTTTCAAGGTCTCTTGTTATACAGCATTGATTGCAATATACATTATATTCACTTACTTTATTACATAGATTGTCGGGTAATAACTTATACAATGTTATATTAACATCATTCTTTGTATTTTTACAGCATTCGCACTTGTTATAGTTAAACAACATTTCACTATAATATAATGAGTCATTATTTCCTTAAGTCATTTTTAACGAAGTACACGAGATATTTTTTGTTTTTGTATTTCTATAAGTCTTTCATATCCTCTGACCACTCCGTCAAAACTAAACACATAATTTACGGAACTTTCACCTGCTAATTCACAAGTTTTTAGTAATTCATTAAAATCTTTTTTCAACTGCGTCTCATCATGCTCTAATTCAAGGCATGATTTAAACCCTTCATAAAAGTCTTTCTTGTTAGTTTTAAAGTATTTAACATCTAGCAAAGCATATTTATCTCTTTCACCTTCATAGTGTTCTTTTACCTTTATCATTTCTTTTATTAATTCTATTCGTTCTTTTATTTCTGCGTGTATCTTCATTACTACATTAAGTCATCATCTCTTTAATTCTCCAGTGATGACTATGTCATCATATTATTCCATTTTCAATAGAATAATGACCATATGCTAAACTATCACCTGTATTAGTCCAGTATCTTTTATTTTCATAACTATTCAAACTAATCTTTGTTGTTCTAATACTATAAATTTTATGGTTTTTACTTCTAATACTATTGAATGATTTATGTATAACTTCATTAGTTTGTAAAACCTTATCATATTCTTTATATGTCAGTTGCCTCCTCACTATGTGCTTTGCTGTGCCCTTGCATTTCTTATGTTCTTTTTCTTCTCCATAGATTTGAAAAGCGTAACACTTAGGACGAAGTCCAATAAACCCTGTAATAATTTTGCTACTGCATTCATCCTTAAATTTACCCAACGTCTTTTTATTAGTAGTATCATAGCATTTATGATAAATAGGATAATCTGAAAAATCCATTTCATCTTTAATATCATGAAGATCTTTATAAATGTCATCAGTCTTAGTATGAAATACAAAACTATCAGTGTCAGTATAAACCATTCTAATATTATCTCCGTATTTAGGTTTCATAACATCATAATAAAACTTATACATATGTTGCTTACTCAAATCTAAAATACTCATTCCAATGAATATAGGTTTATCTAATTTCAATTGTGCTTTTTGTTTCTCAACTCCTACTAAATTATCGCTGATAATATGACTATGTTTAAATGATGGATTATTAACACATTTCATAAATCTTGTTTCATCACTCACTATTTCAAAATCTAAGTGTTTCCTTTTGTCTTCCATCGTTTTTCCGAACACGGCATTATTCATTAATTTGTAAACATCTTTCTCAAAATCATTGTTGGCATTCTTTCTTTTCTCAGTGTTAAATTCAATGTAAGGTTTTAATATCTCTTTCTGACTGAACTTTATTGCTCTGTGTATTTTCTTTAGTTTCAATCCGTGTTTTAAATAAAACTGTAAAGTTCTAATATGGACTACGTACTTTTCTTTGTCTTTTAAATTCAATATTAATTTATTTGTTTTTTCATCTTTAGGTTTTTTCTTATTCAGTATTTCATAAATTTCAACTTGTTTATCTGATAACATATCTGCTTTAACATTCATAATTTCAGGTGCCATTGGATAGTCATTGTGTAAATCGTGCAGTTCTTTAGGGTATTCTAAATCAACTTCTAAGATGTATCCAGTATTACCATTAGCATAGTTTAAAATATCATCTTCTGTTATTTTAGTATCCCACTTTAAATTTTTGTATGGCAGTTTTTGTATCATTGCTAATCCATATAAGTTATTAGCATCAAAATAATTAATATAACTACTTTCTTTGCTTTCATCAAAATCATCGCCCATATAAATATTATTTGCCTCTACTTTCTTACAGGCAGTCTGTGTCATCCCACCACGAAGTCCGGTCTCTATCATTTCATACATATCT